TTTGCAGACACCTTCCCAAGTAGAGGAAAAGACCCAGCAGCCACTCAGTTCCCAGTTAGATTTTCGTGATTCGAGGGTGTATTTTTCCATTTGGAAAGGCAACGTGTAGTGTGTATTTCCCTCCCCGTAAGCAGACAATGAGCGATGCAGAACAGTGATTTTTCCACTGCCTATTGTGAAAATACTGCTTAAAATCAAGCTGCGTTTGCTGTGAAGAAACAGCCTTCATACCCCAATAATCCCAAGGACGGCATGATGGCCATATTCATTTTTACAGAGCTCACCCATCTCATGCCCCCTTCCCCAGGTTACCCTTCCCCTAGGAAATCCCCCCAAACCCAATAAAAGAGCAAGTAGGGATAGAGACTCTTTAATTAACAGCTAATAATCGAGCTGAAGCATTTTCCTCCTCTAATCAATAGCATTTCTATTTTTAAAATCCCAGTGCCTTCCCGTGCAATAAAGGCAGCCGTGCAAATGGAAGTGCAAAAAAATAGCCGAGTAAAGTTGTCAGATAAGGGCAGTTTGGGCTGGGATTGGGAAAAACTGCTGTATTTTTCCAATCGTTATCCCTGGATGCAGTCAGCAAAGGTGCAGAGAATCTTTCCGAATCCTACCTTAGGCTGAGAAATAAATATTTGCCTTCGGTGTCTGTGAAAGAAAGGACCCACCACCCCCTTCCAGATTGCATGAAATAAGATATATGCAATCGCCTGCTTCTTTTTAAGGAAAATATTTTGACATTTACTGTCTGGGGAAAGTGCTGCTCTTTGTCTTTACTGTTTTGGCCGTGTTTAGATGTGGGGATGGAGGGGGGGTGATGTGTCTTGCTGGTGCATGCGCTCCAATGCTGCTTTATCGGTGTGGTTATATTGTACTTTTAGGTGTTTCATTGTACCCTCAAGAGTTTATTTTCTCCCCCCCCCCTTTGCCCTGACCTTCACTGGGAAATGTCATTCCCTCCTTCCCCACCCCAAAATGAGGAGGTTTGGGAGAGAGACGTGACGTGCGTAAATAAAGAGACAGAAAGAGAGCGGGGGAAAGCTCTAAAGCTCACAACCACTTCAAAACAGGCGATTTCTCTGTGCAAGCATTTTTTTATGCATTTATGCCCTCCCCGCGCCGTGAGATGTCAGCCCTGAGCGCTGCTCCGCGCTCCCCGCGGATAAAATATACTATTGAAGCGATTTTATGATGGGGTTCAGCACAGTGCGGAGTGTGCGCGTAGAAGGGGGGGGTGTTAGGTAGTTCCGTGTCCCCTTCTTCCATCCCTGGGCGCGGAGCCCCGTCCGCGGGTGCGGGAGGGGGTGGGGGGGAGCCGCGGGGCGCTTCCCGCTGCGCGCAGCCCCGCGCTATCATTGGGCAACAGCGCCATCTCGTGGCCGCGCCGGGGCGCAACGCCGCGGGTGCGGGCCTGGGGAGGGGGTGCACCCACCGGCCCCCACGGTGCGTTATAAGCGATAATCCTTTACCGGAGGTTTTGGGGGGTGTGGGGGAGCTCCAGGAGCTCAGCGCGGTGCGGTCACCCCTATAGAAACACCGAGCACGGGCAGGATTTTTCCTGCCAAATATATATGTAATATTTATATTAAAAAAGCCATTTTCCTCCCTGTATATCTATTTTCTCCCCCTCACCCATAAAAATGACAAATCTAACAGCGCACACAAGCTGGACCAAACAAACCCACCAGATGTGTCACATCCCCCACCTCCAACCTCCGTTTTTATCAGTTTTAGCTTCGAGTTGGGGTTTGATTTTCCTTTTTGGGTGGTTTTTTTTTTGGTGTTTTTTTTTTTTTTTTGGTGGGTGTTTTTGGTTTGGTTTTGGTTTTTTTTTTCCTGTGTTTTTTTTTTCTTTTTTACCTCCCCTTGTCCGAGGGGGGTCTGTTGTTTGTAGCTTGTAGACAAAACATTCCAATAATCCGGTTTCAAAGAGAAGAGCACCCACCTTATTTAAACCATAAAGCAATTAAAGCCAGACGTCTAGCCAGATCTAGGGTCCTGTTTTGTTCGCTCCTATTCAGCCCCGCATAGCAGGGAGACAAACAGAGTTGTAAAAGTGGCATTTTTTTGGCTGCGGAAATGTACCTATGGACAGCTGTAGAGTCCTGTCGGTTTTGTGAGCCTTACAAAAGGGTAGATTAGAAACCAGGCGCACACACACCCCGCCACGAAACACCCCCAGAGCCTTATATTCACCCCTATATATATGTTATTAATTACTTTTTCTTTATTCCCTCCGAGAGCTATAAGTGCATCTCTCCCCAAGCAGAAAGAGATGTGCATGGTCACAAGCGCCGGCACACAATAGCTGTATCAGTATGCGTCTGCACACACGCGCCATATGTCAAAGAATGCCGAAATTGGAGCATTTTGATACATTAATCCAGGGAAAGGCTGGCCACAGGGCGTGCTGCCGGGTGCAAGCCGCAGGATCTTTCTTTTTTTTTTTTCTCTTAAAATTATTATTATTTATTTTGAGCCACACTAAAGGCGTTTGGGGATTATTTTTTTTTCCCCCCCTTCTCTTCTGGCTCCTATGGAGGAGAAATTCAATGGCTGAGCCGCACCAGCATAGCCTCCCAGCATGGCCAAATGGCATTTTATAACTGGTGTAACCCTTCACCGGGGGACGGGACGGAGGGGGGGTGGTGTGAGGATACCGGGGGCCTTGCACATGAACTAAAACTGCGGCAGGATTTTAACCCAACCCAACCCACCACCAACAAAAGAAAGCCCCAACCAGCAGCTCGGTGGAGACAAAGGGGCATCTCCTCCGCTGCCCGCCGGCGCTAAGGGGGGTCCGGCCGGGGAGAGGGCTGCGGCAGGGAGGGAGAGGGTCGAGGGAGGGGGGGGGAAGAGGGGCTGGTGAGGAAAGGGGGGGACTGGGGAGGGAAAGAGGGGGGTCAGGGGGAGGGAGCAGGCTGTGGTCGCACTGGAAATGAGATCCGCTTGAATGAAAGGGGGGCCAAAATGAACTTCCATACATCATGTCTTTTCAACATCACTAAACGTTCCTGACAAGCCCCTCCAGAGAGACGGGTCCAAAACTGCCTCCAAAGTCCTGTCCGAAGGATGATCGGGATGCTGTTTTGTTGTTTAGGGGCTTATTTTCCTCTTACTTAATAATGATAAAGCGGGGAGATTTCTCCCCTCTCGCGAAGAGGACATTGCCGAGCCGCTTCCCGACCCTGCAGGGTTTTATCCTTTATTTGAGGCGGGATGAAGGAAGGGAGAGAAGCAGACGGGAGGAATAATAATAATAATAATTTAAAAAATTAAAATGACATGACTTAGATGGAAAGATTTCCCCCTTCCCTTTTCTTTTTCTTTTTTCCTTCGGCCCATAAATCTTCCTCTCTGCTAAAATGTTTTCTAACCTGACCATTTCATTGCGCTCGTTAACGTTTTCCCGAACAGACCTAGCACAAAACTGGGATTGTAAAAGGGCTTTTGAGCTTCCCCTGCTCCAGGGATGTCTCCGCGGACAGACCGCGGTGTGCCTGTCCCCCTCCGGTGACAAAAAATAGACCCCGGTTTAGAAGCGAGGACACAAATCAGGGCAAGGGAAAGAAACCTCCAAACGCTTCAGCAAGAAATATTAAAGAGCAATATTTTATGAGATCACCACAAGTAATCGCTTCCAGATTTTTTGATTTCGGAGGAACCGGGACGAGGGCGACAAACGTATCTCGCTCGCCTGATCTGGTTTTGATTAGAAAGATTAAAACGCTGCTCCACTCATTTCATTAAAGAAAGGGACCTATAACAAGTTTTTATGATTAAACATCCCTCGCTGCTCATTTTTTATACAATCTCCTGCCTCTTGTTTCTCATTCAGCAGCCTGGAAAGCGCCCAGAGAAGGAGCCAGTGATAAATTCCTGCTCCCTGCGCTGTGGGCAGCGGTTTCTCGCCTCTGCAGCACCAGACCCATCTCGCCCTGGCAGGACGGGGAGGAGGGGGGGGGCGGAATGTGTTGACCTTTCCGCAGCCAACAACCCTTTTCTCCCCCCCCTCTTCTTTTTAATCTGCCCTTGTAGGGTGAAGGGGGGGGGGGGGGGGGGCTTTGTCTCTCTCCCCCCCTCGCCCCGGACCCCTGTTTTTCTTTTTTTTTTTATATATATATACATATATATGTACATTTTTTATCTGCAGTCTGCCGCATAGCCACTACACATTTATTTCTTTACCCTCTTGCTTTTTCTCTCCCCCCCCCCCCAATCCTTTCTCCACCACAGGCACTTCTTTTTTTCCCCCATTCTCCACCGCAAGCATTTCTTTCTTCCCCTTCTCCTGAGCTGTCTTGTGAGAAGCAGCACTTCCAGCAACCTTCCAAGTTTTGGCAGCCCCATCGATAAGGCAGAAGCTCCCCCTTGAGCGGATGGCAGCGAGCGGATCCTTTGCCAAGCTCCTCTATTCCCAGCATCCATATTTAGTCTTTTTACATATCCTTCGATTGCCTGGGGTCATAAATTAGTACAATTAATTATCCCAATCTCAAAATTGATGGCACATATAACCCTTACCTCAGCGCCTTTTTATTATGCTACTTTGAAATAGAAAAGGGCTGGGGAAGGAAGCAGAAAGCTCCGCTCTCGGCTGCGGGGGATGCTCGGGTCCTCCCCGCCGAGGCACCGGCACCGACACCGGCACCGGCAAAGCCCTGGGGCTGCTCCTTTGCAAAGGGCTTTAAAGAAAAAGACACCTAAATACTGATTTTTTTTGTTTGTTTCTCTCTTTGTTGTGTTTTTTTTTTGTCTTTCCCCGTGACGTTAGGTATATTTACATAGAGCTGCTCTACAATAGCGAACATAACAATATTACAGAACGGTTCTGAGACGAGAATAAAATACACAAATAAGTACAGCAGAAACGTTCAACACCATGACAGAACATCATCGAGCCATAATCCCTTCAGTCTTTTTTTTTTTGTCTTTTTTTTTTTTTGTCTCTTTTTTCCTCTCTTTTGTACAAAATATTCACTCACGAGCTCGCGGAATTAAAAAATAAAAATACTGGATAAGTTTAATTTATGAAATAAAATACTAAAAACAGCAACAACAAAAAAATTCAAGTACTTCTTGTGTTTGTTTTCTGAGGAGGACAAAACAAGGAAGAAGAAAGGAAGAGAAAACAACCCCCCCCCATCTCTCTTTTATTTAGTTGCATTTTAGAAAAGACTCGTGTCCCCAAACGCTTGCTGTGTTTGCCTATAGCGCTAAAACATTCATCCGCACATTCAAAGTCAGAAATATTTCAACCCCCAAAACCAGCCTCTTTTTTATTTTCTTTTTTTTTTCTCTCCTTTTTTTCTTTTTTTTTTTTTTTCTTTCTTTCTTTCTCTCCACCCTCGTTTCTCATTGACTGGACTTTGCCAACTTTATTGCTGTTCTTTATCGGTTTTTTCTTTATTCATTTTCTTCATTTTCATTCGCCTGTTCTGAAACCAGATTTTGACTTGGCGTTCAGTGAGATTAAGGACTCTGGCTACTTCGTACCTTCGGTCCCGTGTAAGGTACATATTGAATAAAAACTCTTTTTCCAGTTCCAGGGTCTGATACTTTGTGTAAGGACATCTTTTCTTCCTCGTGGAGCGCGCATGAATCCAATTTGCGACGGGATTGTCTGAGAAAGAAGATTTTTATATTTTTGGGGGGTGGAAAAAAAAAATCAATGTATACAGCTGGCCTTTCTTCCCTCCCCCCTCCACGCCCTGTGTATCTAGAGAAAGAAACCTGTTTAATTAGCAGATCTTACCTAAATATTTTAAGTGACCTTCAGAAGAGTTTAATCTGTTTATTTTGGAGGGGTCATTTCCTTTTCTTTTGCTGCTGTTCTCACATAAAAGTTTCAGTAAATAAAACTGTAGCAATGGGTTTAAAATAATAATTATCCACATGACTGCTACTAGCAGTAATCTAAGAACATAGTCATAAAAAGTCAAAATTCCCACCATTTCATAGGCCCATAAACTCTTTTTACAACCTCAGCTCTCCAATACTTTCCCTAGAAGCTTTCCCAGACCTGGAAAGCCGAGTTTGTTGTTTTAATATCTTAAGGATGACACGCGAGATGTCCCACTGGCTGCCCAGAAATTGCCTTTTCTTTTTTATTTCCCCTAGACTACAGGGCTTTCCCCACTGCTGCTCCAGCCCCGTTGCTCAGGGGGAAAAAAACACAGTTCCCATCCTGGAGGAAAGGGTTTTTTCTCCCCTCAGCCGGTTTTAGGCATCTGCCTGCCAGCAAGGGGACCCTTTCGCCCTCTGATTCCTCGACTTATTTTTATCACGAGGGTGCCTGGCACCAGCCCGCCTGTCATAAATAGAGGTGTGAGCTTCTTGCCAGAGAGAGAGCGAGAGGCACCAAGGTGCTGTCACCCGGCTTTATCCCTCGGAAATCACCCCCATCTTAGGCCGGGAGAGTCCCCTCCCGGTTGCGGGGCCGAGCTGGGGCCCCCGCATCATCCCCCTATGCATCCCCCGCGGATGTGGAGCTGCTATCGGGAGGGTTTGGCGAGAAGGGTTTGGCTTGGGTGCGTTTTGGGGTTTTCTGTGTTCTTATTCATCCCAGGAGCAGAGCTGACCTCCTGGCTGCACCACTCCGGAGCTGGTCCCCTCTGCAGAGCCGGGGTCCAGGCTCCCTACGCTGCAGGCTGGAGGTGAGGGTGATGGTGGCAGTTACCTGACTCCTGTCCCTACAATGTTCAAGGTTTCCTGATGCCTGGATTAGGTTTTCTTTCCCCCCTTTTTGTCTTTTTGAGTTTTCACTCCCCTCCCTCCCTCCCCCTCTCCCTTGGGCTGCAAAAGATGTTTCTTCAAGTGTATGGTCCAATGTCCTGCGCTTGCTGCCTTTTGCCCTCAGCTACCTCCACGCACTCACTTTATGCCTTTACAATTCCCAATTTTCCTCTTTCTCCCTTGCACACACACACACGGCCCCCACCCTCGCCCTGGGCACCCACCTTTTCATTTATTCCCACGTGTTAGAGCATTTTATGAATAATTGCACCGGTGGAGCTTTTATTGATTTAAAAAATAGATAAAGAGACACCTCTGCATTTATCCAGAGAAAGCCCTTAACCCTCCCCCCCAAAAAAAACAAACCCACATCAAGACGTTCACTTCCAGCCAGCTACAACTCTTCCTTGTTCTTTGAAAGTGGGAATATTTGAAAGGGAAGAGCTTCCTCCTCCTGCCTACCCCCCTCTCGCTGCCTCTCACACACGCACTCTCCTTTTATATATATATATATTTATATATTTAGCTATTTTTTCATTCTCCCTCGTGGAAGGTGGTGAATATTTGACCAAAGAAGGCAACAGCCGCCCCCCTCCCCTTGCAAGGAAATCTTTAAGAGGGAAAAAAAAAGGGAAAAAGGGGAAAAAAAAAAAGACTAAAGAGCCCAAAACAAAGTCGAGATATTCGCTCTCCGGCTCTGCTAGGCGGACTCGCCCAAACCCCCAGATCTTCCTGCGTATCTGGAGTTTTAGGGTCGGGCTCTCTAAGGTAATTTCATTTTATTGAGTAGGGTCCTGGAAGCCGTAATGCCTCCCCGGTCGTAAACAAGAATGACTTCGACTTACTAGGGTCTAATTCGTGCTTTTCTTCTTTGTGTTTGCTGGAAGCGATGGCTTCGGACTCCGGGGAAGGAATTGTCTGCGCTGCTCTGTCTCTCAGCTCCCCCGGAGCCGCGTACATGTAGTCCGCGTAGCCGCGGCCGTCGGCGGGGCCGCACTCTGCCCGCCGCCCCGGGAAGGCGTCGGGCTTGAGGCCGTAGGGGCGAGCCCCGGGGGCGAAGGCCGGGAAGGAGACGGCCCCGGCGAGGGGCTCCAGCCAAGTCCGCATGTACCTGGGCTCGGCCCCCACGGGCGCCTGCGGGGCGTAGGGGTGGTAGCCCACGGAGGACTGGGAGTGGACGGGAGCCCACGAGGTGGTGAAAACGGCCGGCTTGGGGGCGAAACTGCAGGACGGGAAGTCGGCACAGTCCGGGACTAATCCTGACGGTCGGGCGGCAGCCGGGTGGGAGGCAGAGCCGGGGAACCTGGAGGCCAAGAGCTCTTCGTTCTCGTGGCTTATCAAGGAGTCAACATAGTAGTTGCTTATGGGGCCAGAAGCCGACATGGTTCCCCCCTCTTTTACATTCATAAGATTATTGTATGAACTGTATGTGTACTTTTTATCTTCTCATAGAACAATCAGGGCAGGTAATTATTTTTTCAGCCTTTCCCAGTGTGCCATTGGCTGCCCGCCCTCACGTGATTGTATTTACCCAAAAATATAGCGTGGATCAATCCGCAGGTCTTTTTTTTTTTTTTTTTTTTTTTTTCTTCCTCTCTCCTTTTTTTTTTTTTTTTTTTTTTTTTAAATTTATTTATTTATTTTTTTAATAAGGCGACCCGGCTTTTCCTAAAAGCGCTGGAAACGGGGCGGGGATGGGGAGGAGGGAGGCTCGGCCGGTCCCCGCCGGGGGATGCTCTTTACGGGCTTGGAGGGTGGGGGGAAGCTTTGCCCTGGTGCTGAGGAAGGTGGAAGGTAATTGTGGAAGGTAGTCCAGGAACTATTTCTTGACGTAATTTGTCTCTGTCCTTTCCTTCTGCAGCTCCTAGCCTCTAATGGATACATTAAATTGAATATCTGTGGGAAGGGGAGAGGGGGGAAGTGAGAAGTGCGGTGGAGGTGGGCTCCCCACTTGGAGAAAGGAGCTGGGGCGGGGGGGGGGGAGGAAGAAGCTTTTAGCCTAAAAGCAAAAGGGGCTTTTGTCATCTTTTGCAGCGCTGTCTCATCGTCAGGCTGCTCAGCAGCTGAGAAGTCTGTGGGGCACAGGCACATCTAGTCCTGTTTTGAGCAATAAGTGTCTTCAGGAGGAGAGAAAATAATCTAGACACAGTATGAGGAGCATCTTTGCAAAGAGGAGGGGGAAATAATATTAACACACCCCCCCCAAAGAAAAAGGGGGGGGGGAAGGAAAGACTGGGCTTTTGCAGTGAAAGGCTGCATTATTCGGCAAGTAGTCGTGGATGTTTTTATGTCCTTCAATAAAATTTTTACGAGGATCATTTGATTGTTCATAAACGTGTCGTTCATTAAATAAAACCGTAGGACTGAGTTTCAGCTGTAGAGCTGAGGATGGGAGAGCTTGCGTGTATCAGGAGGAAGCAACAACGTGTGGTGGGCACATGATTGTCCTGATATTTTTTTCTTATTTTTTTGTGTTTTTTTTTTTCTTTTTTTTTCTTAACGCCTGGAAACTTTTCCTTTTTTTTTTGCACCAAAACCGCTTGAAGAAGTTGGGAGCATTAAAAATTCCGTGATAGCCTGCCTGCATTTTGAGAGAATAACCTTTCCTTTGTAAGGAAAGACAGGTAGGTAAATAGCTCACGCCCATTGGAGTCTGGAAGAAGGGAGTTAGGCGATTGCTCTGGAAAAAGATAAAGAAGATGCCTAACAAAAAATAACCTCTCATTATCATTTTTAGAAAGCGAGCCCCCCTCAAAATATGGATATTATGGGCTCTCCAGGGCTCTCCATCACCTCGGGATTCTAGGGCTGGGAGGACATGGAGGGAAATGGTCAAAATTCAGCGGAAGGAGGCAAAGTGGAGGCTGAGGACGCGCTGAGGGCTCCTGCCGGGGGTGGGCAGGGAGTCTCCAGTGAGGCAGCCTTCCCCAGTGACAGGCGTTCCGCACAGCCCGGCCAAGTCCCAAGGACGGACACGGCAGAAACCGCTTCTGGTCCTGGTAGTTTGGGCTTGTGGCTTTTTTCTCCCCCCTTCAGTAAGTTGCATGGGAAATGCGAGCAGGAGGAGAAAAGAGATTAAGGCAGATTCAGGGCTGAGCAGGCAAGGAGAAGTGATGCTGCCAGGAGACACCCCCCCCCTCTTCTCCAGCCCCTCCAAACTTACCCCCTCAGCTGAGCCAGGGTAAACCCCTGCACCTCAATCCATAGGGCTCCAGGAAAAAAAATACTAAAATAATGAAATAAATCCAAATGGAATGCCCAGGGCTGCTGGTAGAAACAGGGTTTCCCTCTCGAAAAACAGGGAAGGCTTTAGAAGAAAAATATGACGGGAGGTGTTTGCCAAGGGACTCTGGATTTTCCAAATTCGAAAAGTCATCCACTCGCTCCCCCCCCTCCCCCCGAATTTATTCCTCATTCCGTTTTAAGTCCCCTGCTTTATGTGAGCCCTTAAAGGGAAATATTCCTGCAGGAGCAGAATGTCTTCTTTGGCCTTTATCGAGACCCATTTATCTGTCAATCACCAGTCTCCAGTGACGCTTATTTTTATGTTCGAGAGGAAAAAAAATAATAATATATATATGTATATCCTCATCATTCTTTTATCTATTCCTCTTTTAAATATACTTACTCTGCAGGGCTGCTAATATAGTGGGCTGTGACATGTGGAGGGGAAAAAGCAGCGTGGCTTTCCTACTTTACTGGGATATTTTAAAGAAAGTCCTTACAAAAGAAGGGTCGTCTGCAGATGTATATGCAGAAGGGGTGAGGGAGAAAGGAAAAAGAGGCAGAAAGGGAAGGAGAGAGAGGGAAAGGAAAGACTGAGCATGCAGAGGGAGAGAAGCACTGAAAAGCAGAGGCAGGGGGGGAGGTTTTCCAGGGCCACAAAAATAGTAATAATGTCAGAATATGCCACAGACGAACCGCAAAACGAGCAGAAAATACCAAAGCCACGCAGCTATAATAAGTAGCAGCAGTTTTTGTCACCTTAATGCAAGCAGGCAAGGTCACTAAATTAGTCGTGGATGGTGTATGTTTGGTGCTACACAAAGGCAAACATATCTGGCAAAGATTTCTTTTATTCGCCCGGAAACCTGCAGCACACGGAATTACTCACTCCCCAGATAGTCGTGGGATCTTAAATAATAATAAAACCATAAGAGAGAGTTTGTATGGCAAAGCCCTTTCATTCAGGGTCTGCTGGGCTCTGAGAACTAAGCAGTACAAAGCAGAGATGGAGACAGTTCACCTTAAAGCGAGCTAAAGACACGCTTAAGACTAAAGACACGGCTTAAGACAATGTTTCTCCAGGTTTAGCTGCAGAATCCCGAGACACGATGTGAACATTGCCCTCCCCTAAAATTTAAACACGATATGAACCCCCATAAAATACTGTCCTTTCACGGTTATCTCGACATGAAACCATCCCCATGGATGAACGCAAAGTTATGTGAATAAAGTCCACTCAGAGTGCAGGGCAAATAAAGCAAAATCCTGAAATAGTCTTCTTTTTCAGCAGCAGTGTCTCCAAGCAAATATCCAGGCTGGATTTAAAACACGCCTTGCCATTGAATTCAGCAGCTACAAGGTTTTATGCACGCTCCAGCTAGACTCCTATGCCTCCACAAAAGCTCCGGTACTTGTTTAATGGGAGATTACCTCTTCTGAAATGATGGCAAACTATCACATCCCTTCCAGGCAGGCTAATATCTTTTCCTCTCACCTCCCTTTTTGAATCTGCGGGGGAAAGAAACTTAACTGCATTAAGCAAAACTGAACACTAGCAGTCCACAAGCCGTGTGAGTCTTTATATTGTTATTTTTTCCCCTGATGGAGAATTAAAATGGGAAATAAATGATTCAAATAAAAGGAAAGTCGAGTCGCAAATTAGGAGGTTACAGAAAATGAAGCCTTTGTCTGAGCACTGTCCTGGCTGGTTGACTTCTGACACCTTTTCGGAGCTCAAGGCTTCCCATATTCGCCCTGCTCCTTGCAAGTGCTGTGTGTGCTCAGCCCGAGCTGCATCCCTGTGCACGCAAACCAGGCTCTTTCCTCACTTCCAGATCTTTTGCTTTCGCTTTGAGAAATTCTCCCCTGATTGGAAGGAAGGGAGACAAAAAAATAACCCTAATAAAAAAAAGAAAAAAAAAAAAGAAGAAAAAAAAAGAGGGACAGAAGAGGGAGGAAATAAAAAAAAAGGGGGTAAAAAATCCCAAGTATTGGATAGCTTCCTGCTGGGTTGACACTGTTTTCTTGTTTTTTTTTCTTGCTTTTTAATGTTTTTATTAATGTTTTTCTCAAAAGGAGGTGGGAAGGGAAGGGCAGCCCGCGGTCCCCGGTCCTTAGGGGGGGTTCCCCGGCTCCCCGCTGCCGCTCCAGGCCCGAGCACCGCCAGCAGCCTTCCTTCCCCCGGAGCGGAGCGGGGCTGCGGCGCTGCTGCCCGCCGGGGCAGCCCAGGGCCGGAGCCCGGAGTTCCCGGTGGGGGCGGCCCCGGAACCGCAGACGGGCCGGGGGGTGGCGGTAGGGGCTCGGGGGGGGGGGGATATGTGGGGGGCTGTGGGTACGCACTGTGGCTCCGTCTTCGTGTCCCGTTTTCCCCCCCCCCAACCCCAGCCAAGCAGCGAAATGGAGAGGGGAGAAAAAAGACAAACCATCCGCATCCCCTCGGTTCAATTAACACTGTCAAGTTCGGATTAAAACAGAAATCGGTGGTTTCTCGGCTCCCTCTTCCCCCGCCCCGGCCCCGCCGCGCACCTCCAGCCCCTGCTTTGGGGGAGCAGGGAAGGGCGGTGCTGCCTTCATCTCTCTCCAGAAGCGAAACGAAAGTAACCCTCTGAGGCAGCTCCAGCTCCCACTCCCCGCCTGCATTTTCAGCCTTAACCCGGAATAAAGTTCCCTTTGCCCCCCTTTCTTTGTCCCTTTCCATTCCCTTCCTCTTCTCTTTCGCCTGCCCAAGTTCTTTCTCTCTTTCTTTTGTTCCTTCTTCACCCCTCCTTTCCTTAAAAAGAAAGAAGAGGGAAAAAAAATTGTACACAATAGATTGAATGAATCTAAAGCAGACTCTCCGAAGCGGCTGCGAAATATTTCCTGATCCCCCAGATGCCTCTGTTTATTCCAGGATTGTCTCTTAAAGTAAATAAATATGGGGAAAGATTCATTTGAGGCCAAATACCATCCGTGAATCTTGCAGCAGCGCGATTGCAGGCTATAAGCTTTGCCTTTCTCTCCCCCCGTCCTCCCCCCCCCCCCCCCCCCAATTCTTTGGCTGCTTGAAAATCATATTTGCTTCAGCTTCCTTAAAAGTTATCATATATAGAAAAGCTCCTCAGGACAACAGCTGACCCCTGGAACTCGCACATCGCTTTCTGTCAACGTGAAAACTTCAATCGGAGTCAATATGGGAGAACTGAGGCAAAGAAAATCAGCATTCAGCTTAAAATGACGCTGCAGGAGTTTTTTACCTGCTTAAGTGCTTCCCCCCCCCTCCACGCACACCCCACACACCCCACACACCCCCCCTTTTCTGTCTGTTGCTAAGAATTCCTGTCTCTCCAGTGCTGGAGGTACAGCTAATAGACAATAAATTCCGAGGTGCAATTAAAGCTCAGAACAATTTCTTTAAGTGTGTTATGGTCTCCTTTCCCAAAATTTCAGGTCTCCCCCAGACGAAGCCGGCTGCAGATGTTCACAAACCCCAGCAGCCCGCGAGGGTGTAAAATCCAAGCTCCTCTCCTCGCTGCTCTCCAGGTTAGCTCGGTTTTGGGTGTGATATGAAATGCAGGTCAACAGAAGGGGAAAAAAAAAGATTCCCAGCGAAGTAAATTGAAAGAAGAGCAAGAAAACAAGCCTGAACCCAGAGAGGCGAAGTGTATACTGCCTGAAGAAACATATTTCTATACTTCTGCCTTTACATTTATTATGTTTCTGTCAGACACCCTGTAATTAGCATAGATAACTATAGTTGCAAGCTCCAAGTTGTGTCTGCAAATTCTATTGTTTGGCTTCTCCAGTTGCACACCAGCGAGCTTGAAAGCGAGCACAAGGTGTTAGGAAGAGCCTGGTGCCCCCAAATAAGACAATAACCCCACGAAATGTAAGGGGGGGGGGGCGGAGGGGAGAAGGGTGATGCTTTAGGCAATGGATTCCAGCACAGTCTGCGCCGCAATATCTCTGGCCTGGTGCAAACGTCTCCTCCAGGAGATCAGCTCAGTCCTAAACCTGCCTTTATCTGACACAATTATGGCTTAAAATAAAGGATATTCAGGCAATACCCGGTGTTCTCTCTCCATCCACCCCACCCCCGCTCCAAGTAGTTATTTGTAAAGGTCATCTGCAGAGCCAATACCTGTGGAAATCCTCGGTGTCTGAGCCAGACACTCAGACACTTCAAGATAACAACCTTGAGCGGGGACATTTGCTACCATTTACACCAGCCCCAGTTTGTTTTCCAGCCCCGGAGCGGGTTCGTCTCGTAAGGAAGAGTTGAGCCTTCAGGGGACTGTCCCAAAATCCACCCGTAAGAAGCCAGAACAGCTTTTATTTGGCGGGGATTAGAGGAAGGAGGCAGAATAAAACAAACCCCAAACATAATACAGCCCAGTTTTTCCCCTGCTGCAGAACAGGGGAGAGTTTACCAACAAAACCTCATCTCCTCACAGCCTCCTGTTCCACTCTGCCCCATAGGTTTTGCTAAGAGATCTTTAGGACACCCCCCCCCCCCCAATTCTTCCTAGCAGCAAAGGATAAACTTCATCTATGGGAGATGCGTGTGCGAGGCAGAGGCGAAAGCCTCCAGGTTTTTAAATTACACCTGCTGGGAGAGGAGTATTATACAAAGAGACGCAAGAAGAGTTATGCAATCCACTGAATCGTAATACAGCTAATATTTTACTCCGATAACAGCAACCCAAAGTGCACGAGCTTGAGCAACAAACCAAACAATATTACGTGAAGAAAGATGAAGGCGAACAGCATGGTGTCTTTTTGACTACCCATGTTTTTACATAAAAAAACAGGCACATCTATACGAAATAGTTGAAGCAATAAATTCCCACTGTCCTTCTTCCCGATCTAATATCATAATTAAAAAACAGTAGGGGAGATTTTAAACTTTTATTGCGTTTCTGGAGTTGGGTTGCTAAACATATATTAACTTTAGATTCTTCTCTTTCTCTCCAGGGGGGTGGTCTCTCAGAAATAAAATCAATCTTAATATCCACATTGTAGATATTGTTTTGTCTTGTACATGCTGTTAGAAGAAAGGGAAAGAAATCTGCTGATAGTTAATACAGAGAAGGCAAACTCATCGTACATGTAATGAAACCTTTAAATCATTCAATTATCGCAGCACTAATATCAAATAATTATGGTTAAATGTACCAGTAATCAACCTTGTCCCTGTTGAAATATTAATTTACAGTATTGTGAATGCGTTTCTTCCTTTCTTTTTTTTCTTCCTTCACCTATTTTTTTTATCCCGCTTATTGTATTTTTTTCACCAGCCTGGTGTATTCAACCTAAAAGGATGATGAAAACAGCTGTAACCCCATGCAACATTGCTTTGGACCAAATCCACAATCATTTTGTTTTATCCACACTTCAAATACAACATCTTTAACACAACAGACAAAGCAAAGCGAGATCTTTTCAAACCGGCGCTTAAAAACACACTTTAATTCATCGCATGTGATTTTATTCTCATCCTGGTCAGAACATTCACACCAAGAGCCCGTCCTCTGAAGCAAGGACATGGCTATTTTTGCAATCGAAATATACTCCTTGCACAGCAACTTTGCCCTGAGGCTCACACATAAGAAGTCAAAGCAGGGAAAAACCCCGAAACATCACAATCCAACAGCAAAAGAAATCAAAACTAAACCCCAAAAGACACCCTTCCCACCAGATTTGAACATGCCCTATGAAAACTCGCCAGCCTGCCATTTTGCTTCACCGGAAAAATCCAAATATTCAGAATTTCAGACTTCAGTTCTCCACCTCAACCTGTTCCTCTCCACCCTAAGACCAACACCCGCCGCTCTGGGGTTATTTGAGATATCACAACACACGACTCTCTGCAAAGCCCTTGCTCGCACTCAGCAGATTCCCCTCCATACACACTCTGTTCTGCTCTCCGCATATTTACTTTTTCGCCTTGCCATTTCACGAACATGACTAGCCCCACGCACAGCACAGGACCCCGCACTCTTCCCCTTTGAGCTCGGCTGATATTGCCTTTATTTTTCCCCCCTTATTCTCCTCTTTTTCACATTGAAACGCTCAGATTCGGGTACAACTTTTCCAACTTTTCCAGCACATTTTTTTTGTGGGGGGAAAATAACCTTTTTTTTTTTTTCCCCTAACACAGACACTGCTCATGTAACACAGACGCCTGATTCTCTTCATCAACAGTTACTTAGCTTTTATATGTACCCTTACTAGAAAGTAAGTCATAATCCAAGCTGAACCAGCCGCGACATAGGAACCCTGCTCTTGAAAGTGAAACCCCAGACCCCGATTAGAGCATGGAAAAGGGTTATTAAATTTTATCTCTCCTGCTTTCGCTGGGATGGAGACAGAGAGCAGGAGAAGTTGGACACCCCCCCCCCCAGTTCCTGCTTTGTTCTTCCGTCCACCTTCACGAAACAGAATCCGCTGCAACTTCTCGGGTTTAAGAGGGAGAAGGCTCAGCAGAGGACGGCAAGAGGAGAGCTCCCAGCACCAGCACCTTCCTCCACCAGCACCCCAGTGCCAGTTGCCCCCCCCCCCCCAAAACCCCAACCCAGTCACCTTTGCAATTCCCAGGGAGCAGAAAGCGACCACCTTTTTAATGTATTGATTAAAAAGCAACCACGGGGGGAATTCGAGTGGTGCTGGGGGGGGGGGGGGAAGGGAAGGAGGGGATATTTTATTATATTTATCCCCCTCCTTTTAAATATCACCCGCGATGTGCAAACCCTGGGGCTTTGCCAATCATCCCTCTCTGCAAGGCTATCTTAATAATTTGGGTAGGAAAAGCTGCCTCCTTTGTCTGCCTCATTTATCCGCGGAGCAGAAACAATAGAGCGGAGGGTAGGAAAAAGAGGGAATAAAAAAACAAAATGGGATGGGGGGGGGAGCAAAATAACCGTCTCCCTAACTCGGGGAGGGGGAGATGCAGGGAGTACGGGGGAGGGTGGTGGACCAGGGAGGTGGTTGTGCTGGTGCTGACCCCCCCACCCCGGTTGCCACCACCTCCGTGGGTGGTTTTTTGGCTCGCCGGCGCTCGCTGCAAGTTGCGCGGGGCGCAGGGCGCTGCCGGGCGGCCCCCGCGCAAGTAGCGCCCCGGGGCGCGCACGGCGGAGCTGCGTGTGGCTAGCGGAAACGGCTGCCCTTGATGAAGACTAACTGACGTAATTAAGGCAGTTTCTTGTTGCCGAGCTAAAAGCCAATCCCAACAACATGAAACTACCTAAACCACAGATCAGCTGCATGAAAAGGGGCGGAAGATCCACTCATTTCTGTCAGAGAGGAGGGAAGGAAATAACAAAAAAAAAATGTAGATCGGTAGAGGAGACAGAGAGAGGAGGAAAGAGAGAAAGGAAGGTAGAGAGAAAGAAAGAAAATCGCCCCCTTTGTTGCTTTTCTCGGTTCACCCCCTCCCCTTTCTCCCCGAAATTGGCGTTCCGGCATTGCAACATGGTAAGCAGCCTCCGCCAGAAAATGCTTTGGAGGGGGGGAAAAAGGGGGAAAATAGACCCCCCAAAATCTGAAGCGGCATCTTTAATCTCTCCATTAAATCCCTTTTTAATAGACGCTAGATGGACTGCTCTTCGCACTGTCTGCGGCGGAGGCGTTTAACAGGATAGCTCTAAAATCTTGACTTATTGCAGACTGCGCTATCTTTCATTGCCAATGTGGCTGCATCCTGACATTATCCCTTTTAAATTGCATAGATAACTCCTGCTGCAAGCGAAAAAGGCTTCCCTAAGAGCACTCCACAGCCAGCCAAACTGCCACCAAAACAAAATCATCTCATGCCTACACTGTCCTTAGCCTTCCTCCTCAGAAAGCCACTGCAGTCATCTCTGAAATATATAGGCATCTCTGCACGCACCGAGGCAACATATGCTTTCCAAGTCCTTCAGCCACGCTCCTAGCCCCCCAAAAAAGACGAATAATCGAGAATTCACACCTATAGACAAGCCTCTATCATTCCCTGAGCCAACTTCATACAAGTAAGTTTCGAGGGAGGAGGTGGGGGGGGGTAGGGAAAAAATGGAAATATATGCGTAATCCTTCCTCAACCATGCATTTTCTCGCTGAAAATTAGCTGTCAGATGCATAGAAACCTCTCCCAGGGAGAACAAAATCCTCCAAGAAACCCGAAGCTCAGAGGCGTCCGTAAGACTGCAGCTTCAAAGTGTAGTTCAGCTCGGCTCTGCCGTTTACCTTGGTACAGAGGAAAATATCTCCACTTGTGCTTCAGACATGCAGCCAGCCAAGAAATCGTCTCTCTTACCTTGCTACTCCTTCCACTTGCCATCCCATGGTCTGTTTTATTTAAGTGTATTCCCTTTAATAGTGATTCTTCCTTAGACCACATAAGGAGCGTGTCTTCCCTTAAAAAGACCCAAAGCAATGAGTAGTGTGCATCCAAAGATTGCTGTTTCAGCTCTGCCTTCCTTCCCTCCTCCACAGTCACCTTTAAATGCATCTTTTACTGCTGCAGCACATTATATTTGCAGATCATAAAATCCACCTCCAGCGCTTACCAAGACTGTCCTGACATTACTGTTTTATGACCTTGACTTATTGTGGTCACCTGGATAATATTTAAATCAACGTTATGGTCTCTCACTTATATTAAACCCGCTAGGATACTCTCCTGAAAGCCTTAAAAGGATGAGTCCTGAGGAAAAAAAACACTACATAGGGGGGGAAACACTGTTTCTAAAGAAAAAAATACACTTTAAAAAAAACCACTTGTACACGGTTCTATGAAATTTATTTTGCTCCATAAAGGAAGATACATGCAAAGTATAACACATACAGAATATATTTAAATAACACAGCCACGAGAAATGGACTTTTCCATAATAAGATACCAATACTGCTTTATTTTTTAATTTTTTTTTTTTTTTCTTAAATATATGGTAGATAGTATCACTTCATTGGGAGAAACTGCATAACTACAGGATGTGAGCATGTTCCCACTGCAACTTTAATTTACAGACACTTATATGAAATCCATCTTTTAGTCATTTTTATTATACAATAGGCAGACTACACTAGAATATGAAAAGCAAACTTTTGGACGCATCTATTATCCTAAACGTAAAATGCATAGAGAAAGGTCCTTCTGGTTTGTGCTGCACGTAAATAACTTAAACATTTTATAAGATGGCTTTTAGCAACCATCTCCATCTTTATTTTACATAGAAACACAGATGCAATATATATCCTCATGCTCATACCGCTGCCTCTTCTCTCTACAAACTGTAAATACCCAAATCATTCGAGGTCCTTTAATTTTTGCATACGCATTGCATTTATACCCAAGAAAGGGGGGGGGGGGGGATATTAAAATAAAATAAAATAACCCCCCAAACTGCACAAGGCTTTTAATTATTATTAATTTTTTTCCTCTCTCTTTCTCCCCTCTCCCTCGCCTGCACAGGGGCTGGAGCACACTCAAGTGAAATTAAAATTGGAAGTCAGTTCACGGATTCGGTTCTCTCTGTTCATTTTCTTGAGTTTCATCCTGCGGTTTTGAAACCAGATTTTGACTTGTCTGTCTGTCAGGTTAATGCTCTTACTAATCTCCAGGCGGCGCTCACGGGTCAAGTACATATTGAACAAGAATTCCTTCTCCAGCTCCAGCGTCTGGTGCTTGGTGTAAGGACACCTTTTCTTTCTTCCGCTCTTTGCTGTCAGCCAATTTCCTGTAGTGTTTTCTGCCTTTATATCCTCTGTTAAAAATAACATCGTTACATAAGTATCCGGGGAATGGGAAAGAGAACTTACCCGATTGCATCATTTGGCAAAGCAGCTTCTTTTTTTTTTTTTTTTGGGGGGGGGCGAATAATGAAATAGCTGTATTTAAAATTTTATTTATTGATTTTTTTATTTTTTACATGAGAAGGCAGCTCGCCTCTGGGCAAAGAAAGAAAAAGAAAGGAGCCGGCATGACTTGCTCCCCTGGGGGTTTTTAGGGAGGAAAGAGAAGGTTTGGAGCGGCTTAAGGGGGTGGTTTGAGCTTAGGAGTAAACCGGTGGTAGCAGCACGCACCTTCCACCTCTCAGCTATGCAGACAGAGTGGGGCGGGAGGGGAAACCGCACAGCTCCGCGCACCCCCCAAGTGGGGGGCTGGAGGCTATCAGGGTGTGGATTTATTCTGGCTTCACTAGGCTGGATGGAGGGGCTCAAAATATCACTGCTTAAAAATAATTTGGGGAATCAACGATGGGGCTTTCGAGTCCTTTGCAGGTCTCGGGGTTTGGCCAAGTCACTCTTTGCCACCCCCAAAAAATACATTATTTATCTGGTCTTTGAAAATGAACTGCAGAGGCTGAAGTATTTGCGTAAAGATGTGTTATTTTGGGGGAAAGAACTCGATTTTCGCTCGTTCTGGAGCAGCCTTTCCGTCAAGTGTATTTTTTGTTGTACAAAATAGATTTGTCTTTATGAGCTGTGGAGGCACATATAGGTAAATTCGAAGGTAATTGTAATCCCATAGACACTCTTCTTACTTTACACACTCGTATAGATACGCACACATACACTTTGCAAAGGCAAACGTATTTCACACGTACATAAATAAACACAGGGAATACTTGGGCTTTGAATTTGGTCATGAGAAAATCCTGGCACCAGCAGCCAACATTTCGCCCTAAACTAGAAGGAAAAACAAAGCGGAACCTGCAATTGTAGCAACCTCCCCGGCACCGCATTCCTGCCGGATCGGGAAATCCAAAGAAACAAATTGATTTAGCCAAAGGCACCTTCAAAACGTGCTGCTGTGACATGGACCCAACGCTCGCGTTTGCCGAAAACCTTGAATGCCACCAAGCCCTGGAGATCCCCTTGGAAATCAAATCGCCCCCCAACCTCTCCGGTTACAGGAGAAAAGGTCTGGACCTCCTGCCCGAATAAAAATCCAGGTTCAACATAAACGAAACCCGAAGCTAAACCAGATCTTAAAAGGAAGCAACAGAAAGAGAAGCAAACCAAATCCACCCCAGATTGAATCTGACCATTTGAAACCACCACAACCACCACGAAATGCCTTTTAAACAGTAAAAAACTCGGGGAAACCACGTCTTTCTCCACGCACTCCTTTTGAATTTAACATCCGAAGCGAAGCAAAGCCTCCATCTGTATTTTTTTCCTTTCTTTCTTTCCGCTTCAATTGCAAACCCAACCCGATATCATCTTTATTTCGGGTTGACTCCCACCAAAACCTTTCTTGGCGTGGAGGTTGAAGGCGCTTTGTGCAGATAAGTTTGCAGGGGTTTTGATAACCTTGACTTTGCTTTCTTTTTTTTTCTTCTTGGGTGTGCGTAATTGTAACTCAGCTGTCAGATATTATCTTTTCCCTTTGGATGCGGAATGGTTGGATGCGGAATGGTATTTAAAGAAAAAAAGGGGGGGGTGTGAATAAAAAATTTCAACAGCAATGGAAATAATAAGTATTTATCGGTTCAGCTTTTAAAAAGGCCAATTTTGGAGGAGGGGAAACGCCAGAGGAGAGGTTTTGCTGGTGCCACAACACCGAGACGTGTGTGCGTGGGGGTTCTGCGTGGACCTCCACGCCTGCAGCCTTGCATGCACCCTCTCCACCCCACCCCACATCCACTCTGCTGCTGCTGGAGCCCTAATTATAGCCCAGATCTTGACACACGGCGGATATTTTAATCCACATACCACAGGCAGAGCATGCAAGCCTTTGCTTAGATCTGAGCCGTATTTTCTACCAAGTTTTTAGGGAAATTCAATCCCTCCCTTCACATGATCCCCGCTTATTGACCCGATAGATGCCTCCGAAACCACCTCGCTTCAAATCAGGACAGAACCCAATCCGAATATTCACGCAACAATAGATTTCAAGCCATACGCCAGCTCCACAGAGGAAAGAAAATGTGCTGAATGAAAGCCTCTTTTCAGAAATTCCCAAACTTAAAACATCTGCTCAACACACAGAAACATTTTTTTTTGCCTTCGCAAACAAAACCTCAGTCCGCCAGGAAAAAAAAAAAAGAAAATAAAAGGCAGCTTTTTCCTCTTTGAGTCTCCCAAGGAAGCTTCCAAGCCATGGAATGAGGCTGTGCACAACTCCAGCCTGAGATGGTTGCAACTGCAAATGAGACTCTATGCGTTTTCGGTTTTTTCACCCCATTTTGACACCGAGCAAACCCCACAGAAGACAAATCCGCTCAGCACACAGAAATAAAGCGTTTGCGGAGAAAGCGAGATGAAGGGGGGGGGAACAGGCTTTATCTGCCTTCAAAAACACAACACCACCCCTCAAAGAACCCCCCCACCCCAAGCAACCAAACCCCAAGTCTCTGCTGTTTCAAAGCAAAGCCACCTCACCGCATTCTGCAGCGAGGATTGCAAGGACCACATCATTTTTTAGCACAAATACACGCACAGTAAATTCTTTTCCATGTAAACAGCGCGAGGACGAGTTCTTAAATAGCTCTCTGCTCCCTTTTCTCAGCTCTAAGACACACAGATTTTTGTGAAAAACCCACAAAAGCAACATTTCTCTGAAGTGCATTTTTTCCGCCAAACGACATCAACAATACAGAACATTATTGCGCCAATTTCTGGAGGAGAAGTTGGCAGGGCAGAGAGCACATTACTGCATATTCGCATTACTCTTGCTCTTATTAGCTAAGGATAGTTACTAATTGCTGAAATTAGCTACTGGTAATGAATGATTCCCTTACCTTTAGCTTCATTGTCAGAATTGTCAGTGCTGGTGTCAGTGTTTTTATTCAGCTCTTTCTCTGCTTCCGAAGGACTTATTTTGGGTGCTGGGGCGCTTTTTTCTGTTTTAATTTCGTTCGTGGATGTGTTCTGAGTATTATCTGTTTTTGTGTTTTCGGGGAAACTCACTTTAGCCACCGGGGGAGGCGGAGGAGGAGGAGGAGGTGGTGGTGGTGGTGCTGGTTCCAGATGCTCATTCCTTGGGTTCAGGCTCGCCCTGGATTCAAAACTTGCCTCAAACTCATTTGGATTGCTGCAGTTTGACGTCTTCTCCATGGAGGGGTAACCTTGGCTCGCTCGGTAGTAGCTAGGAACGGGGACTTCATGGTCATTTAGGCAAGACTCAGGCATTTGGTTGGGGTAGAGGGCTGCCTCTGTGGCATTTTTTGCTCTTTTATCAGCGTTATACATACAGCAAACATTCTCTTCCTTGACATTAGTTGGGAAGGAGCAGGATGGGAGCTGTCTTGCAACAGGTTGCTCGATCCTGTACGTATTTTTGGGGTCACACCAAGTGTCTAGCTGAGAAAGGTAAGATGGATAGGTGCTGAGAGACAAGGTAGCGCTATTCACCTCGTCCCTTTTGGAAAGAGACGGGATAATTCCACAGTTCCTCATGACTCCGCAGCTGAAATCGCTCCCAGGCTGCATGTACATCCCTTGGCTGGAGGAATAATTCTCCCCTCTACAGGTACCGGCCAACGAGTCCATCAAAAACGAGTTGGAAGTCACATTGTTGGGACATGACATTTTCAGAGAGGGTTTTTAAGGAGGAATACTCCAGCCAGGGGCTGACATCTTTTTTTTAGGGGGAAAAAATATCAAGCACCATAATTATCCACGCATCGCTCTCCCCCCCTCCACCCCCCCACGTGATGCCCAGGCCAATGAGGATTGAAAATGGCCTTGATGATTCAGACGGGGACGACGTCACGGGGGTCAAGTTGGCGGGACCGGGAGCGGCACCGTGGAGCAACAGCGACATCTGCCAGCACCGGGCCGGGACCTTCACGTTGAACAAAGGCAGAGCCCCGGCGGCCCGCTCCCCTCCCGCCCGTTTGTTTACCAACGGAGCCACGCGTGGAAAGGGGCAAAGGAAAGGGGGAAAACCGCAATTAAATATTTTTTAATGGTTTTTTTTTTTCTTTTAATTAAAGCGGGGATTTGGTAAATTTTAAATGGAAAAAAAAACAATAATCTCAACACCCCCCCCCCTTTTTCCCCCCTTTTCCCCTTCGGAATTCTCTTTTTACGCCCCAAACCTGATTAAAATTTGTAATTCTTGTCTCTTCCCCCCCCCCCCCCCCCCCGCCTCCTTTCTCCTTCCTCCGCTCGGCTGCTCCTTCCTCCCCCTCCGCGGCGAGGCTGGGCGAGCTCCTCTGGGCTGAGCCGGCTGCTGCGCTGCTTCGTCTTGGCGTTATTTTGATGCTTATTACAATTATTCGGGGGGGTGGGTATGTATGGGGGGGGTTGGATGGGGTTTAGGGGGTGCGGTGGGGTGATGCGCCCCGGCGCCGTTTTGCTTTTGCTGTTTTGAGACACCTGGGAAGAGAAAGGGGGCAAACCCTGGGATAATTCAGAGACCCTTCAGCCAGGCATTTCCCTGAAACCCCGAAGCTCCTTAGAGCAGGTTGGATATTTCCCAAGCAGGTTTTCTAATGGAGAAGAACCCTAATTTCCTTTTATTTTCCTTTTTGTTTCTTCGTCTTTTTTTTTTTCCCTCTCAGCAAAGCAGCGTCGCCCTCCCTGACTCCGCAAGGACAGCTTTTTTTAATTATCCACTTTCATTCCCGAACTGTCTTAAGTTTCTGGGCTAAAATGGCATATGTGATGGTGTGCAGGGCGGGGGGAAAAAAGACAATTCCCCTTGGAGAGGAAAAAGGGGGTCGAATTTGTGATCAGGGAGCGACTTTCAGCTGGGAAACTGCGAGAGCGGTGGTGTGGTGGGTTTTCTCCCCTCCTGTCTGTCTGTCTGTCTCCCTGTCTACTCCTTCTTTCTCTCCGGGAAATAACTACGGGGGGGGGGATTAATAAATCTAACCTGGGACTCAGTACATACCATGCAGGAGGCTTTATAGACTGAAACTCTCCCGATTTGGTCGGGTTTTATCTGATTTCTCTTTTTTTTTTTTTCTTTTTTTTTTTTTGTGGGGTGATTTCATGGGGGAAAGTTACTTTTCTCTCCAATATTTTCTCTCTCCTCTTTCGTGGCTCAGTTCCCTGCGATGGCAGCTCAAGTTGTTGTTTTCTTGGGAGTCTGAAATCTGCGAGCACGATCTGATGCTTAAAGTACGACGGAATTCAAACCTTCGCGGTTATCGTGCCCTCCCTCCCAACTTCATATTCTTCATTATTATCTAAATCCTGTGGAAATTAAGCTGTATAGTGGTTGGGTTTTTGGGGTCATTTTCCCCAGCACGTTGTAGTGCTGGTGGATGAACTCTGATTTTAGATGTAGCAGCGGATTAGGGCAATGGCGAATAAATAAATGAAAAGGCAGATTGCCCGGAATTTCAAGATCATTACGATTAGAAAGAGACGGGTTCAGAGTCACTTTCAAGGGAAACAAAAAGAAAACGCCACCTTTCATTAAAAACAAAAAAAAAAAAGAAGGGGGGGAAGAAGAGAGGAAAGGGGGAAAATAAAAGGGGGAGTAAGGGAAAAGAAGGAAAAGAATGGGGACTCAAAAAGAAGGAGGGGAGAAAAATAAGCGGGAAAAATAAGAATAGGAAAAAAAAGTAAAAAGAATGAGGAAAAAAAAAAGGAAAAAATCGTGGGGAAAAAAAAAAGCACATTGAAGGAGAGAAAGTGGAACTTGACCGTTTGGGGTGATTTGTAACGGTTTAGAGCAAAGTCCTGCTTAAATATTCTCACGTCTGCAAGCCTGTTTTCCCAAAGATTTTTAAAAGCAAGGCTGTAAAATTCCCCTCGACTTAACTTTCAAGAGCCTTGCTGGGCTTCTCTCCGCATCAAGTGGGACAGGTTTCAATATCTTAGGCCGAAAAAGCCTAAAAGTGAATAATCCTATTTCGGGTGCCCCCTTCCCCAGCACAGTAAAAGCGTTCGAGGCTTCAGACGCCATTTGGTTCCCCTGGAAAGCTATTTGCGACTTTATTGCCTCTATTTGTGTTATCTGCATAGGTCTTTTTAAAACAGTTTGATAGAAATCGTTCAGTTTTATGATATCCAACGAAAATTCCACATAATATTTATAAGCAAAGAATAAAACTTTAGTACGGGAGCCAATATTTTCTCATTTATAGGTGATGAAATTAAAGACCAGTGCAATTTTGTATTATATTGCGCTTTCTTTTTCCCCCTGTTTGATTTTTTCCCCCCTCTTCTACGTCTTTTCCCCCCATCTTTTACTCTATTTTTGCAGCTGATGTGGCTGGCCAATAATTTATGCTGTTCAGTCAAATAGTTACACATGTGCGTTTTTGGGGACACCAAAAATTGACCTCATAGTTTCCTTTATTGTCTGCCCAAAGATTAAATAGGTTTTCCTGATTTTTTGGTGGTGGGGTCTTTTTTTCGCCCTGTGTTCTGGTGGGTGCTTTTGTCGAAGGAGATATGAAGGAGTTGCATGGAGCACTTCAAACGTGACATTAAATAATTGGAACTCGCTTCTTTGCAGAACCAGGCGCTCTCGAAAGCATCTCGAGCAAAGCTCCTCATCCAGGTTGCTGGAGCGAGGAGGGAAAAAAAAAGGTGGTGGAAACCTCATCTTTTATGAATGTGTAAACCCTGCGAGTATAAAATAAAGATTTACACCGATCACAGGCATTTTGTTTACCAGTTTTGGTCAGCGCAAGCTACCGATGTGAAGGTTTGAAGGGTTTCAAGCCTATTTCCGAGTTGATAACCAGCATCTTCGGGAGCAAAGGGGGTTGAGCAAATATAATAGGCGATTATTCCTCAAAATATGACTTGGATATATCCGGAAACTTCACCGTGATGGGTTTTTTTTTGGCCATGGAAAAGAAAGTTGACGTTAGGAAGCAGCACAGAGGCGTCTCCAGGAGAGCGAATATTGTTTAAAGTTAAAAATAATTAGAAGTATGATAAACATGGGTCATTAATGGAAAGAGAAATAAAATTCATCAGCCTAAGTGGAACCCCCGTTGGGAAAAATGCTTTGCTCTAATTACAGAAAATAAATACGAACAAATGCTATTAAAACTTAAAAGGAGAGAGCCTGCCCGTGGTAAGGACTTTAATAACCTGCTTGGAATTTTACACACTTTTTGGGGAACCACGCACACGTCGTCCCAGTCTCATGTGTGGGGCTGCCCGTGTGGGTTCACCAGGGCCTTTTTGAGCCGCTTTAGGGTGTTTTAACCATTGACCTACGAGACTCGCACTCCCGAATGAAGTGGAGTTTTGCCTTTCCTTTCCCGGTTCTAGGGGTGTCCCTGTATCCCTCCACCGTCCCCAGCACCACAGAAGCAGCAATTGCCCACAAACACCCCCAAACAGGCGCTGTGGTGCCAGGGAAGCCTCTCTAGGCACGGACGAGCGGACGGGAAGGGAGAAAAGATGCCAGAAAATCCCCTCTTCTGCCCATCACCCCGAGGAGTATATAAATGTCTACGATTTCCAAGACAAAGCATCTCTCAGGCTTCCCCGGAATATTTTACCTGTCCCCTTTTCAATCTAATTATTTAACCGTGAGTTATGTGTAGAAAGTGTTTCTTATACCCATTGTATTTTTTACCAAGTTTTTCTTACGTTTTTATGACAAACATTCATTTTCTCTTCGAGGAAGTATTTGGTAGCAACACTTTAATGATTACCTTAAATTTGTATTTCTGCCCGGTATTATGCCCCATGTTGTAGCGGAAATAATTCTGATTTATGACAAAGTACACTGGAGTACAATAACAGCGATGCAAAAATAAAACCCACGCCTTTATATGTTGGCTTAGAAACTGTAAACTATCACCACAAGAAATCTATCAAACTTTACAATCCCTCTTACCCTGCTTCCTTCTTTCTGAGTAACTTAAGTCAAAGAATTATGGAATGATATTATGTTCCTTGAGGTGGTATTGAAAACTGCGTTCAAGCTTTCCTACCCCCAACATAGCACCCATGTTCTGGATGGAGTTTGGACCCTTTTTCCTTCCCCTTTGATCATGAAGGCGAAATTTGGAAAGAGTAATTTATATAAAAGCGAGCGCAGGCAGGGTGACAGAGCCCAACGACGTGACACGGGGATTTCGGAGGAGTTTATTCAGTGCTGAAATGTTTCCTTTAATTTTCCAACCGCGTTAACAAACTTAAACATTGCCCCTCCTCCAAAAAGAAAGAAAGAAAAAGAACAAAAGGGGGGGTGTTGGGGGGAGAAGGACATAATTATTTCTCACAGAGGTGGGAAAATCCGTGTGGGAGCTCTGAAAATGTTGGATTATTGCACGTTTGGAAAATTAAAGGTGAGGGGTTTTTGTTGCCGTGTTTCACTTTTTTTCTTGGCCTGGGAAGTGCTGATGTGGTTTTTAAGCTGCAGAAGTGAGCGGGTGATGGTAATGCGGATTTTGGAGAGCTCCTTTTATAACATTTAAATTAAAAATAGAGTGAAGTTGAAGGAGGCGAAGAGTAACGATGAAAGGTAAAAATTGGAGACAATAAAGGACGTGCTAAAATGTGGCTCTGCCCCTGGAAGTGAAGAGCAAACCTCAAAGAATCCCAATTTTTCACATCTGACGATAGAAAAATGATTCCTTTCAAACTTTGTCCAAACGCTGATAATTTAACAGGCATCTTTGAAGCGGCAGCGCTGCTCTGT